GCCCGCCGGGGAAGCCTGGACAAGCATGCCGGACCTCACCAACACACTAGTGGCTCTCACACGCGACCCTGACCTCTTCAGTCTGGAGTCTGTACATATGCAGCAGGTCGAATGCTTCGTGGTACTCATGTACAGCAAGGGGTGTGGTGCAGCTGGTGTCAATGAAGCCAGGCATCGCCTCTTCACCACTGGAAGCAGATCACGAAAGCACCTACCCAAGCAGCACTGTTCCAGCATGTGAAGCGAGCGTTACTACAGGCGAGTTTCTACTGGAGTCAGGCCACCTCGGTCCAGCAGGAAATTCCTGACTTCAGTGAGTGTGGACATTGCACAAAGATGGCACCAGTACATGGCAACCACTATGGATCACTCACAGCGACGCTTCAGTGGCATGTGCCATTCTCTTGCACTGCGGCTGTCTCAAGGCATGCACAGGAAGGTGCAAATGCAACCGCGCCGGTGCCCCATGTACGGCCCTTTGCAAATGTGAAGGTGGGTGCGTTAATAGCGAAGAGGACCAGTAGTACGTATTGCTGGCATCATATAGCGCATAGTAATCCAGAACGTATGGACATTGTTATATCACTTAATGTCAGCAGATGTCATATCCTGCAAGCCAGAACGTATTGGTATATTGTTGCAAAAGTTGTCCTTGTATTGTAATTTGAACATTTAAAGGCATACAGCGGCACATAATGCATTTTGTCATGTTTTTCGCTACAGCATAATATGTAATCTCTGAATTACTTTAATAAAAATTGATTCCTGAATAATCTTAATTTTTTAGTAGTACACTGCTGAGGTTTGACCTTTGACCCCAAAATGTGGTCACTATGTCCTCAAATCGCCAAAATAAGATCAGAATCGGATTCTCAGAGGCCACAAATCCCTAAAAAGTGGTATTATGTCTTGATTCTAGCACTTTTTTACCTATAATTGACGTGCGATTCAACTCTCGGTCGGGTGACCTCTATCGTGACCCTGACATGCAATATTGCCTCAAATCGTTCAAATAAGGTCAGATTCGGGTTACTCAACCACGGAAACCGATAAAATGAGGTGCTGTTTGTATATATTGACAAAAAAACACTAAAAAATGACATATTTGACCCCAAAATGACCTTTAGGGTGACCTTGAGGGGTGACCTTGACCTCAAATCACTGAAGTAAGATCAGAATCAGATTCCCAGACCTTGAAAACCCCTAAAAAGTGGTATTATTTATGATTATAGCTCTTTTGGATGTTTATCTAGATTGCCTCCCAACCCGGGTGGCGGCCATATTGGAATTTGCCAATATGGCGGCCCCGGGGGGCGCCCATTCCGGCGCCCGCCAGAAATCGAAAAAGTATGGTATGGGCAACATCTGGGCCAAATTTGGTGCTTTTGGAAGAATGTGAACCAAACGGCCCCTTTTTAGCCCTAACACGTACCCCTCTGACTAGTATCAATTAATCATTAATTAATTGAAAGGCCATAACATTAAAAACTTGTAGTGTTATTTCTCTAGTTGTAAGTATTACTCATTTTAAATTTGAA